TGAGAAAATTAGGACAATCCATGCAAGCTAACATGCACTTGCTCAACATGGGTATATCTACTGGGAGTGAGGAATACACATTCAAAAACTTACCACAGATCTCCTGGGAAGAACAATACCTAACCCATGAGATTACATGGAAATAGGTGGAAGGTACTGTAGAAAGAAATTTCCACTCAACAGTTAGAACCTTCCTCACAAAAAAAATTGTAAAGTGTAAGGAAGAGATTATTGGCCAAACGTAAGACATGAACTCCCTGCAAACGAAAGTCTGTGCTTCCCCAGCAGACATCGTCAACCCTGAGAACTGGGGACTGTCAGAATCATTGTCCACTATGGCAGGAAATTCATCAACCACCATATTAAATCTGGAATTCATGTGAACAAATTAGAATTCAGGAAACAGATATATTTCTAAGACAAAGGAGTAGAAACAATGGAAATCAAACACAAGAAGTTGAAACTGATATAACTTAGTGATCAAGCACAATCAAATATTTGTAGTCACATGGAAAGCAAGTTAAAACACACACCTATACAATAAAATGCCAACTGACAAAGTGAGGATTGTTTTAGAGTAGTAGAGGGAGCTAGCAGTGCTAGTAGAGATGATGCAGTAGGTTTGGTGGAGGGTAGTAACATGATCAGAATGTTCTGAAATGGCACGACACTGATGGGGTACGAAAAACTGGTTTGGTGAACAAAAAAAAGTTTTAGCAATGTGTAGAGGGCGGATCAAGATCGAGATAGCCTTGAGGTGAGAGGGGGAGGTAAGACCGTTTCGGAATAAGACAACTTAGATTAAATCATTTAAAAATATTGAATAACTTAAAAAGAAGAGAATGTATTATTAGAACATTTATTAATGGTCAAGATAAAGTCGTACATAATTTATCTCAGTGTATGTTTATGGATATCAGAAAGCAAATATTATCTAGAGGATTGATATTTTCAATATCTATCGCCATAATTATTATAATTATTTTTTATGTTTTGAAAAACTGATAAGGAAATGAAAGGATTGTCCTGTTTATAGAAAAAAGTGATAGAAATCTTAATACCATTGTAACAAAAGTTTCAGGGGTGGTCTTCACTTATCTATATTAGTATAAAAGAAAATGAAATATATATAAAGAACTAACAATTTAAGTAAAGACAATAAGTATTGTTAAACCAGACAAAGCAACTGGTATAGTTGTTTTTGATAGAGATGAGTAAATAAGTGAAGTATGCATAGTAATATGATAGGGATGAGTAAGTAAAGTATTCACAGTAATATGATAGAGATGAGTAAGTAAGTGAAGTATGCACAGTAATATGATAGAGATGAGTAAGTAAGTGAAGTATGCACAGTAATATGATAGAGATGAGTAAGTAAGTGAAGTATGCACAGTAATATGATAGAGATGAGTAAGTAAGTATAGTATTCACAGTAATATGATAAAGATGAGTAAGTAAGTGAAGTATGCACAGTAATATGATAGAGATGAGTAAGTAAGTATAGTATTCACAGTAATATGATAGAGATGAGTAAGTAAGTAAAGTATGCACAGTAATATGATAGAGATGAGTAAGTATAGTATTCACAGTAATATGATAGAGATGAGTAAGTAAGTAAAGTATTCACAGTAATATCTGAAGAAACTAAATTCAGAAAACTGTATTTTGATCCCACAAAAACAAATTAATTGTAAATTAATTGTCATTAGTGATAAACATATATAGAGAATGTAATGGTTGGTTCTTACTCTTGTTTTTTGTATGGTTACAAAAAGTGCATGGAAATAATTGTCCCATTAGGTCAATAGTTTTCAATATAAGTACAGAAAACCAGGAACTGGCAAGTATTTTAATTAATTTCATAAAACATATGAAGATGATAAACATATGATTAGAAATAGTTTTGAGATCACTGAAAAAACTAGCAGATTTAAGATTTGATGAGCAAGTTTTGTGTGAGTTTTGATATTGAGCCCTTTTACACTAACATTCCTTTCCAAGAGAAATTTAACAGTATTTGTGATCAAATAAGTAATATCACTATGGCCTCAAAATTAGTACTTAGTACTCTTTTTATGCTATGAAAAACAATGGTTGAATAATTGCCCAGAGAATTTTAAACCTATTAGATACCATAGGTATATGGATGATACTTTTGTAATCTTAAAGAAAAGGAACATGTAATTTTATTTTTAGAGTATCTAAATAGTTAACAAATAGTTTAGAGTTGAAGAAGAAAATAATTCAAATATGTCCTCTTTTTTTTTTTTAGATCTAGATATTAACAACTTTGGAAATCATTTAGAAATGGGAACATATCATAGATCAACATATACAAGGTTGTAAAGTTATGTTGATAGTTTTACACCTGTTAAATGTAAAGATAGTTTGTTAAGTATTTTACAGAGCTTATTATACTGCCAGTGACTTTCATAGATCAACATATACAAGGTTGTAAAGTTTTGTTGATAGTTTTACACCTGTTAAATGTAAGATAATTTTTTAGGTATTTTACAGAGCTTATTATACTGCCAGTGACTTTCATACATCAACATATACAAGGTTGCAAAGTTATGTTGATAGTTTTACACCTGTTAAATGTAAAGATAATTTTTTAGGTATTTTACAGAGCTTATCATACTTCCAGTGACTTTCATTATTTTTATAAAGAAATAGAAAGTGTTAAAAATGTGTTTTTAAAAAATGGTTTTCATCTTTCATTACTTGACAGGCCTGGTTGTGAGGAAGCTCAAATCACAATATGAGGGTGTTACAAGTTCAAATTCCCACCACCAAACATGCTTCACCTTTCAGCTATAGGGATGTTATAACGTGGTGGTCAATCCCACTATTCATTGGTAAAAGAGTGGCCCAAGGGTTGATGGTTGGTGGTATTGACTAGTTGCCTTCCCTCTAGTCTATCACTGCTAAATTAGGAATGGCTAGTGCAAAAAGCCCTCAAGTAGCTTTGTGCAAAATTCAAAACAAACAGTCATTAATTGACAGAAGTTTAGAATATTTCTTAAATGGAGCATACAACTGTCATAAAGTGAGTTTTGAGGTGCCCAAGCTGTCACTTTAAGTCAGTCTTCCACATATAGGTAAAAACAATTATATACTAAGAAATAAAACTCTATAAATTTCAGTATTATAGTTTTAAAATCAGAATTGAGAACTTTTTTTCAAGATAAAGGACAGAATTAATAAACTTCAATGATCTTACATTGTTTATGGATATGTTTGTTCTTGATATAGTCGAGAGTATGTGTGATCAACTACACATTTTTTAGGTAAGTATGTAAAAGAACATTTGAAGCCTAATGCTGTAATTCTTTAAACATCTTCCAACATCTAGACCAAGAACGTTATGGAACTGCTGATGGAGAGAGAGCTTTGCCCTAATATGTAGTTCCCACAATGAACAAAATGTCAGAATAAACTAAACTATGGGAATTCAGAAACTTAAACCAATATTGATATTGTCAGCAATAGAAATTCTTCTGAGGATGTAAATCATCTATGTTTCTTGAGAGATTTGAATATTTACATTTCAAAGTACAGTTTCACTTAACTGAGCAGCAATTCATTAATTTATGTTAATTTTTTAGCATTTGTGGAAGCTGTGAATATTTACAATTTGTACTTTGAGTGAGCAAAATGTATCAACAGACGTCAAAGATATTCTAAAAAAATACTTAAAACTATTGTAAAAATTAATACTGAAACTGTGGTAAATACAGACTTTTATTTCATCACTTCGCTATGAATCGTATTAGAAACAAATACTTGTATAACCTTTAAAATGTATTTCTAATATCTATCTAGATCAGTATGTTCCGGTAACCAAACAACCTCTTGCTTTTAATTTTCACTAAAATACAGGGGCTCGATTCCCCTAGAAATTGGGTTTTGATAGCTACAGTTGACCCAACATAGCCAATTGTGTAGTTTTGCACTAAAACTTTTACATGTCACAAAATTTTGGTTATAAAAGTGAAGAGGACATTTTTATTTTAATATTTTGTTTGAAATTGTTTAGGTATTTTTGTGTTGTGTATGTATATGCTTAAGGTATTGTATCCATTGTACTTATTTTTCAACCTTGATGAGAACATGGAGGAATCAAGTGTAAACTTAAACGTGTGTGTTTTTAGTCTTGACTGTCTTATAGGAGTTAATACCATTTGAAATTATAATGAATTCATTAGTTTTATCTTTCACAAAAGTGCAACAAACTCTGTGATGTTTTACTTCTTTAAATAACTGTAAGGCACCAAATTTGATTTTTATTTATTCTATTTGGGGGGAAGGGCTTAACATCCCATAAGCAGGTAAATATTAGTGAACTGTGTGGGGTCTAACTCCTTCAGAGATCAGCACTGGCTATGGTAAGTATAGCAACTCTATTAGTTAGCCAATCTAAAGTTAGTATTTGATTGGTTCTTAGACAGGTACAAGTCACTAACCTGCAGGAAAATGTTGAATGGCCTGTGAATGAATATTTCATTCTCAGGTGACCTTGATAAAAGGTTGAAAAGACATAAAGCCTTATCATCTTGTGTTTATAAAATATCCATCTGTAAAGAGTTTCTGTTGAATAAATGTTTCATAGTGATCTACTTAAAACTTGCGAGTTTTTATCTTTTAATACCAAGAAGTGACTTATATATATGTGTGTGTGTGTGTGTGTGTGTATAGCCATTTTTAGTATATCAGTACAAGTATTACTTTTATTTTTGCCAATACTCTTTCCTGTGTACCAGTACTCTGAAATACATGTCTGATACTCATTCAGCTATTTACCATTTGTTGAGTATAAGTGAGTGTTGTTGTTTTGCTGCATACTGAAAATAGCCTATACAGTTTATTTTGCATCTGACATGTTATTGTTTTTCTGGAGAGAACTCTTATACAGAAAGAAATATGTGAAAATAGAATATATATATATATTCTTCTTGTATTCTTTTTGATAAATACATTTTTTCTGATATTTCTTTCAGGTTATGTATTTTGAATGCCCACTCCAGAACAGTTGCTCTCATGAAGATATTGTTTTGGCTTACACAAGACTTGGAGCTGGTGAGTATAAAGAACAATATATCTGCAATGTTCCTTGCCATGTTTTTTGTATTTTTTTTATGGTTAAAATTGTTAAATGATAAGAGCTATTACACTTTTTAATTACTGCGGTGTGTGTTACATATTAGAATTATAAATTGTCTGAAATTGAGTTAATTGATAATTTAAATTTAGTATTTAAATATATGCCAACGTATTAGTCAATTTACGATATTTGCCAACAAGATTGATACACACCATCTTCGTTTTTAACACAAATACATTTTAATATGCACACAACAGTACAATTTACAATAACAATTATTACAAATAGTTATCACAAACTTACAAACAATATAAAATCTTCTTTCTGGTTTGAAACTCCCTTGATATCTTATCGAGGGTTTCCGATGAGCAAGTTAATTACGAGTTGATGTAAGTAAAATTTGCTGGGAAGCTAGCTAGCTTTGTCCTTGGCCACACACACTATTTTCCACCATTGAAGTTAGGTAATGTTTTCGTAAAATTACTAATGTCCGATGAGAATCCACTGAAGTTAAACGATTTGTAACGCTGGAAATTTATAAATATTCCTGGTCAAGTATCTTAAGTTTTCTGATTGATATGCATTATAAAAATCACAGTTATAGTTTTCGAAGTTTATAGCACACTGATAGACACACTACTTTTGGAGCATCACGTTGGTTGTATTTATAGGCATGGGAAGGTTTTCTAGAAAATTCAGATTACATAACAACACTGAGCTATATTTAAACGCTTACATATATATAGATATATTGTTGATTCCTACTTTCGAGAATCTTCTACAACTTTGAAGAGTAGGCGGGAGTTTTGCAATACATATCTAACAGTATAAGCTACACATGTTTTAAAATATAAACTTAATCTAAACAACGTTGATATTAAAATAAATATATAATAACAAATTCGTTACATGTGTATTTGAGTATAAAAAATGTATTGATTCTAGAAATTTTCACCAGTAAGTCTTAGTGCATACAATGTCAAATGCAAGCAATAGAATTGATTAGAATTTCCTATATAAACCAATTGAAGCTTTGTACTTTCAGTTGTGGTTCATGTTTTACTGGAATGCTCCTGAAGACACTGGATCTCTAGCTCAAGTCAATATGAAGCCCAATTACTTGGGTATCTGCTGATTGTAATAAGTAAGTTTTGAGAGCATCTTTCAGCTGTTGAATTTGTTTGGCGAGTTCATCTTTCAATGTATTGTTTGGAAGTATGATCAATTTTTATCATGAATGGTGTGAAGGGCTGTTCCAAACTCAGCTTCTAGTTTGTGACAAATGTGCTTTTTTATTGAATCTTTGATTTTCTAATTGATGTCATTGAATTCACCAGTCTTTTTATTAGATCTTACATTGGCAGATCTTCTGGATTTACAGAGAGGTCATTAAGTATAAAAGCAAAGAGGTCACTGAATGTTTTCTTATCCCATTTAGTGAATTGAACATCAGGATCTGACTTGTCTATAGTGTTTTCTGTGGAGAAATGTCCAATCTTCATATAAGAATGATAGCATGTTCTGTGGTAATGATCTTCAGTAGCAACCAGCTATCTTCCTGCGATGGGAAGTATTCATCTGTCTCCCTTCTCTAAAGCTCATATGCAGACTTTCTTGTCTACACCCAGTGTAGTGCATTTTACCAAATGTTCTCTAATTTTCTGTCCTTTTAGATATTTAGTTTTTTCACAAAAAATCCACACAGCATCATGCACAGTTGATCTATTTGGTGCATGTTGTCCATAACGTCTTGGGCCTTCCTTGTCTGTGTTAGTTTAAACAGTTCTTTCCCCCTTTAGAAGCTATCGAATCCAAGGTTTTCTTCAAAGTGAAAACTCAATGATATTGGAAACTTCTTCTTCTTTCACTGTTGATGCAGTTTCAAATAAAATGTCTAATTTCTGGTGCTCTATGTAGAGTATTCCATGAATTAATGTCCTGTAACATTGTCATCTGTGGTGTGAATAATGCATGTCATGCTCTTTTGACAGGTATATCAGTTATTTGTGATTCACACTCGGTGAGCTCCATATTGGCTTGAGCTAGAGATCCATCAGGCTCTGAAAATATAAGAAATATAGATTCTTATAAAACTAGAAGAAAAAATATAATTCAATTTGTAATTTTACATTTGCAAAAATATATTTCAAGTGATATTTGTTAACTTAAAACATTTCAGATATCATGATCATTTCATGATAATAACAGTTTGTGATCACAAAAAAACCAATATGCATGTAATCATCATTCAGCATGTTATGGGTTTCTATAATATAGACCATACGTCATCTTGGTGAGCAAAACTATTTAACAATTGAAAACTGGAGATTTGACAAATAGAGATTATATGCCAAAATTATTTTGAATGCCTCGCAAAAAGAAACTCAAACAAAAAAGTTGATCATTTTGAGATAACAAGGCTAACAATTCCCAGGTTATACCAAATATCAACATAAAACTTCCCAGTATTTTTGTCCATTATACAATTTGATTTAGTGCCAAGTTTGAAGTAAATCAGATGAAGGTAAGTACTAATACTTAGAGATGACATTTGCTTCAAAGAACCCCAAAATTAGCAAATCACAGAATATAGGGTATACATATAAAGGTGGTAAAAAAATATAAAAAGCTACTCTAGCCAGATGTCTATCATGCCCAAACAGTTCATATAGATATTAAGCTTTCAGAAAATAAGCATTAGTGATTGGCCATTTTCAGGCCCCAAGCTCTTGGACTATATGGTTATGTTAGTAGATACTCCTCGTAAGATATACTCTCAATGTGGTTGGTTGTTCAACCACATTTAACGTAACATAATATTTTGGGACAACAAGAGACCTATTGGTCCACCTAGGCTGTCCCATCCACTAAACTAAACTAAAACTATTTCATATATTTATCAAGCCCTTCCCTTAAGCTCATTTAAATTTCCAGCTCTACCACATCTGAAAGCAATCCATTTCAAAGGCCAACTACTTTGTTAGAAAAATAAAACTGTCTCAGCTTCAAAATGACTCCTACTCTGCCAAAATGTATACTTGTGTTATCTAGTCCTGCCATTATATTTGTGTCATCTAGTCCTGCCATTATATTTGTGTCATCTAGTCCTGCCATTATATTTGTGTCATCTAGTCCTGCCATTATATTTGTGTCATCTAGTCCTGCCATTATATTTGTGTCATCTAGTCTGCCATTATATTTGTGTCATCTAGTTCTGCCATTATATTTGTGTCATCTAGTCCTGCCATTATATTTGTGTCATCTAGTCCTGCCATTATATTTGTGTCATCTAGTCCTGCCGTTATATTTGTGTCATCTAGTCCTGCCGTTATATTTGTGTCATCTAGTCCTGCCGTTATATTTGTCATCTAGTCCTGCCGTTATATTTGTCATCTAGTCCTGCCGTTATATTTGTGTCATCTAGTCCTGCCGTTATATTTGTGTCATCTAGTCCTGCCATTATATTTGTGTCATCTAGTCCTGCCATTATATTTGTGTCATCTAGTCCTGCCATTATATTTGTGTCATCTAGTCC